TAATTTAATTGCCGTTTACGTTATTTAACTTTTATTTAATTTTAGTAATTATTTTTATCATAATTTTAAAGAAATTTTTATATGCAGGAACTACCAGCTAAATCTTACTAATATTATAAATGTGAAAGTTTGTATGTTTGGATGTTTGGGAAATCATCACGCGGAAACGACTGAACGGATTTGCATGAAATTTGGTACGCAGATAGCTTATAGGCCAGATTGGTTAATAGGCTATTTTTTTAAGAGTTGCCACCTGTTAAAAAAGTTTAATTTATTTAATATGCGGGAACGACTGAATAGATTTGGATGAAAATTTGCACACAGATAGCTTATGACCTAGATTCGAAAATAGGCTACTTGTATTAAGAGTTGCCGTCTGTTAAAAAAGTTTCATTAAATTAATACGCGGAAACGGCTGAATGGATTTGCATCATATTTTGCGAGCAGATAGCTTATGACCTACAGTGGAAAATAGGCTAATTTTTAGGAAGAGTTGCCACCTGTTAAAAAAGTTTAATCAAATTAATACGCGGAACAGTCTGAACGGATTTGCATGAAATTTTGCAAGCAGATAGCTTATGACCTACAGTGGAAAATAGGTTGATTTTTTGGAAGATTTGCCACCTTTTAAAAAAAGTTTTAATTAAATTAATACGCGGAAACGACTGAACGGATTTGCATGAAATTTTGCACACAGATAGCTTATCACCTAGGCTAGAAAGTAGGCTACCTTTTTAAGAGTTGCCACCTGTTAGAAATGTTTAATTTAATTAATACGTGGAAATGAGTGAACTGATTTGCATGGAAGTTTTCACACAGATAGCTTATGCGGTAGGTTGAAAAACTGCCTAATTTTTTTAAGAGTTACCACCTGCTAAAAAAGTTTAATTAAATTAATACGCGGAACAGTCTGAACAGATTTGCATGAAATTTTGCAAGCAGATAGCTTATGACCTACAGTGGAAAATAGGCTGATTTTTTGGAAGATTTGCCACCTGTTAAAAAAAGTTTTAATTAAATTAATACGCGGAAAGGACTGAACAGATTTGAATGACATTTCGCGCAGAGATAGCTTATGACCTATGTTGGGAAATAGGCTGCTTTTTTAAGAGCTGTCACGT